AATTGTACGGATCGGTTGGTAAAAACCAAGTTTCTTGTAATGCAATGAGTATAGGTGTAAGTACAGAGAAAAAGTTTTTTAGCTCGGCCCACTTAGAAAGCAGGCCTCGACAGTTCCATTGTAGCATGGTGTATGGATTCATATTTGTCGACGAGAGGAGTTTCCACGGCTGGGCGAGGCCCAGCTCGACGCGCGGTTCCTACCCATCGAGACGCGAATCGGCGGACGTGGTTGGCGATCCCCTGTGTGAGGAGAGGTTTGGGGGTGGGCACCGCTGCGCCCCTGTACTCTGATCCAGCCAGTAGTACGGCTTGTTCCTGGGGTCGGTTTCGGTTTCTGGGCGATCTCGGGAGACACAGCTGGCTGGGAGTCAGGTGAGGAGGGCGCTGGCTCATCGATCTCGATAGCCTCAGTGGTCTGAGTCGTGCTCGTGGATGCAGCCGGTTTGGGAGTGAGGGGCTTGAGAAGCTCCAGGGGAGGGAGCGCGGCGATCGGTTCGGTTTGGGTGCTGCTGGACACAGTCTGAGTGCTGGCGGCCTTTGCGTACGATTTCCCGGGAGTTGGAGTGGCGTTCTCGGCTTCTACTTGACGTCGTGCATCAGGATAGGAGCACGCAGTCTTAGCTTTAACCTCACAGATACGTTTTTCTTTTTGCCAGATGGGGCACTGAGAGGACGAGACAGAGTGATCTGTGCTACCACAGCTGAGACACTGGACAGGAGTGGAACACGCTGAGCCCTCGTGTGGAGCTTCTCCACACTTCTGGCATCTGGCAGACTGGCGGCAAGTGGAACTGCCGTGACCAAAACGCTGACACTTGAAGCAGCGGAGAGGGTTCGGGATAAACACGCGGACATCTTTTTTGACCCAGCCGATCGTGATCTTTTCAGGCAATGTCGTGCTATCGAACGTGAGAACGAGTAGACTGGTATCACGTCGCTGACCGTCTCGGAAGGTAGTCAGGCGGCGGATATGCGAGACTCCATCACCCCTGAGCTCAGACAGAATCTCGTCCTCAGACATATGGCGGAGTTCCGGGGCGAAAATCGTGCCTTTAGAGGAGTTTCGGCTTTGGTGGAGCGAGACTGTCACCTTCTTGCCGCAGAAAGTCGTGGTCTTCAGGAGCGGTTTGGTTTCTTTTCGGGAGTTTGTTTTGACGATCAGGGAGCCGTTTGCCGGAGCCTCGATGGCTAAATCCATGGAACCAGTGATAGCTGCGATCTGCTTCCTAGGCCAAAAAACGTTCATCTTCCGGAAAGAAACGTCGTCGTCGCAGGGCTTGATAACCAGAAAAGAACCGTGGAGAGGCAAGTAAGGCTCGAGCGGAGCGCGATCAACCGAATCACAGGCAGGTGCGTTGTCTAAGTTCGTGCGCGGGTCAGAGCTCCGGGAGTGGTCGGTGGACGGGCGAGGGTCATGGCTCCGGGCGAGGTCGGTAGACGAGCGAGGGTCAGAGTGCCGGGCGGGGTCAGAGGTCGAGCGAAGGTCAGAGGCGTGGTCAGTGGACGAGCGAGGGTCGGTACCGGGTAGATCAGTCGAGGGGCGGGCAGAGGAGGGAGGGATGACGATTGGGTGGGAGTCGGTATCCATGGAGGCGGGAGGGAGGTCAGGAGCAGGAGTAGAAATTGGAGGGGAGTCAGAGTCGGAGTCGGTATAGGAGTCAGAAAGCGGGCGCTGACGGCGCCGCTTCCCCATGATGGGGCAAACGGAATGCGGGCGTGAGCAGGGAGGGTTCAAGGAGTGGGACAGTAGGGAAGAACTGGATCAAAGTGGGTAGGTAGGTGGGTATAGGAAGAGCTCTCAAACAAACCCGTGAAATGCTAACTGCCGGAGCAAGTCAACGATCACCTTAGCCTGTGTGCGATATTAGGTAAAAACAGAAGCTTCTTATCCTAGGAAAAATAAAATGGGAAATCATTCAAAGGTGGCACACTACCTTTAAAGAGGACCATGTTACGTCCGCCGACAGGCCGGTATCAATAAGGGCGAGGACTCGACGCCGCACGCCGGCGGTAGCGCCTTATCGGCACCGCGCGCCACGACATCTTCCGGGCGGCCGGCTAGGCTGGGCGGTGGGAAGTTATCTTATCAAGTGCGTGGTCTTATTGCACACGATCGGGGTGAGCTATCCCATGTTTTCGGGGCGGAAAGTTTCAGTGCAGCATCGGTGCGTCTGCCACGGTGGTCTGTGTCGATGGTACAGAAAATAACTCAGACAGAACTCAGAAAAGACTGAATGATTCCGCGACGCGCTAGCTCCACCAGGGGCGAAACGGCGAGGGGGGTCGTACCCCCCCCCCCCCTCGGCCGGTGCGTATGTAGAAAACCAATAGGTCCGGCGAGGGTTAATAAAAACAAGTAGGTACACAAATCTACCCAAACGATACGAATAAGACATACGCTTCTTCACCCAAACTAATGCATCCGTAAAATAAACTATGATCAAATAAATGATAAATGATAAAATAAATGATCTTTTGGCATTTTTTTTTTTACTTCTTCGAGGAAACGGTCAATGATTCTTCACATTTTTATTCTCACTATGTTCCTCGCAAAAGGACGTCACACCAGTTATAATTTCGTTGAAGTGGTGGCTTTCGCAACTGAAGTGCGTAGTTTAGAACCCTCTTCGCTGCAGATAGACGGTGCGTAGTGCACCCTTTGTAGACATTGACGTATGAGTGCCTATTTAGGACAAAGTTTGCAAGCTCTGCAAAACATTCAGCATCTCAACTGCTCAACATTAAATGCAAAAGCGGAAAGTAACCTCGTGCGCAAACACAGGTGAATGATCTCATTATCATTTGGCTTCATTATGTATTGCATTGCCCGGCCAGACACTGCAGAGCAATGCTGCCAAATTTAGATGTGTGATCCCGCCGATATCTCCTTTTTCATTCTCATCCTCATCCACCTGTCATGTTGTGTGCCCTGCCGATTTCAGGCTGTTGCAGATGATTCCCGGATGAAAAGTCAAAACGTTAAAAGTAAACGGATAAAAAGTCAAAGGACATTAAGTCAACAGACAGAAAGTCAACATCGGGAACCCGTTGCAGATGAGACTGAATTGGTAGTGTCGCCATCTGGACGGGAGCCTACATCAGCGTCGGTCTGTGCTGATACACTGCACAGTGGTAGATGGCAGCACGTTCTGCGCCCAACCGATATTCATCGCAGCTTAGTCGGCATCTCAGGCAACTGACAATTTGGCAGCTGACAAGTTGTGGGTCAACTGACAGCGACAGAAAATGTTCCATCATCTAAACGGCATTTTGAAACTATGGCGTTCCGTGGGTGGTAACTAAGTGCCGAGTTATTTTGACCATTGCATATTTGCTAACGTTTAGACTTTAGACACACCTATAACTAGGGAGGTGTACACAGACCACAGTCCAAGTCAAGCTTTTAGCTAGATATCTACAATACATACGAGTATAACCTGTGCAAACACATATACATATGTATAGTCACTTTTCGGATTATTCTCTGCGATAATAATATCTAACTCACAAGTCCATATATTTCGGATGATGTTGCTCACCCTTGGTCACTGGACAAAATAGAAACAGTTTCAAATAAAAACAATTATAAACAATAAATAATTAAACAATAATTAGTAATTGTTTTTATTTTGTCCAGTGACCAGGGATGAGCAACATCATCCGAAATATATGGACTTGTGAGTTGGACATTATTATCCCAGAGAATAATCCGAAAAGTGACTATACATAGCTAATTTCCTGGGGAAAAATGACTTTAAAACAGCACATATACATATGTTTCAACCTGTTTCCATACAGAGATAATGCCCAATCATTTGTACGATCATGACATGTCACAGTCTATTCATTTTATGACGCACGGAATATCTTCATCCAGCCTCAGAATCCAGTTATAACTCGCGCATCAGCAAAGAAGCACAATGCCCTTATTGTTCTCGACGTCTAACTCCACTCCTCTCAGCTTCTATCACTAGCGCACTCAGTTCTTCCACCAGTCTCGCGCCCTCACTGACGAGTTTCCCGGCCCTTCGCAGCACCATCGCCACCTCTTCGTCCACCGCCGCCCCTCTGAGCGCCCTGCCGCCGCCGCCAGCGTTGTTGATGATGTTGAGCAGCGTGATGGCAGCGAAGGTGGCGAAGGCCAGGTACCCCAGCAGGGTCAATAGGCCGTCCAGCACCGGCAGCACAGAGCCACTCATGCTGGTACGCGGTTCGAGGAAGCTGCGGTCGGTCCGAAGGGTGGATGACTGGGAGGAAATGCGCTGGAGCCACTCCCGAAAAGAATGGAGGGCGGTGGCTGAGATCGCTGTGCGGCTCGTGGACTCAAAAGTGGAGTTTGATACTTTGATGTAGCTTTTGATCTTTCGCATGGAAGGGTCGCTTGAACCACTGAGGGCGTGCACTCCTGGGTTCTTCATGATGGTGGTGTCTGCTGTTACTTCGGGTCCAACATCAGTGCCCTCTTCGCTGTTAATTAGCCCCTCATGAATATCATTATGCAACATGTAGTCATCAACATGGAACGAAGTTGGCTTCGCAGAAGAGATCAGTATGAAGGAGAATTCCGACAGCAGTAGGAACAAAAGCCGTCTTTCTATCGTATTCATGACGCTGAAATCATGCTGTGCTCAGTTTCAACACGGACAAATCCATACCCTCCACTCAGTTAATATCATGCTCAGTCTCAGTCTCGGGTTCCTCTTCTTACGTTTATCACCACATTCTTTCACGCACCACTTATTCACGTATCACCACTTCGAACATATCTTCACTTCCCTTCTGACCGAAGATAAGGGATCACTAAAAACATCGATCCTCTGCATCGCTTCTCCACACTGTGCACTCACTGCGCTCCCAGCTGAATCAGAGTCGCGTCCCGTCGAGGCTCGACCCGACTCCGGCCGCCCTAACCTTACCTCGTGTTACAGAAGCGGCATATCGTCACGCCACACCGCACCGCGTGACGCCATCCCGTAACGCTGCTGACGCGTGACGCCGTCACGCCGTCTCCGTGAACGCACCGCTATCTGACACCTCTGCGGGATCATCTGTCGCACGAGCGTCACGGCGAAATGGGCAGAACGCTGCAGTGTGAACGGTGAATAATGCTTCTCAGATGAGCTCAGTGCGCGAACATACGACAGTCGAGCATCGTGCTTGTTTTTATCATCAACTTCGCATTTAGACCGCATCCCACGTTTTTCTGTCTTGGCCCTCTTGAGTAGAGATCTGAACAATACTGCTTGAGCAGTTGAGCGCTATCATGTGATTGATATGGGCTCTTGATTCTTTTCCTGCGTCCATTTACAATTTGTTTAGACGTTTATTTGTTTTATGCGTGCATATATATTAATGCATTCCACTACGTCGCTCTGAGCAGTTTATAAGATATTGAACTAGAAATATACCTATTGCACCTTCAATAGTAAGCGACCGACGATACCTATTGTAAATGGATATTCATGTATCAGTATCAGTATCATGTATTCAACAGCATCCTCATTGTATATAAGGCTTTTCATGAGTCACGTCAAATGTAAAAGATAAAAGGTGAGTAAAAGATAAAAGAAACATTCATACAGTGACAAGATAAACATAGGCGCAGTTACACATCACACGTTCGTTTGTCACTGAGTGTGGACCTCAGTGCGCGCTTAAAACCGGCCATGGTCACAGCTCCCCTCACTTCGCGCGGTAAGTTGTTATATTTTCGGGCACCTACGTTCGAAATGCGCCTTTCGCCCGCTTGGGTTCTGGCACGAGTTGTCACTAATTGGTCTGCGTACCTAGTGCCATGTTCGTGGTCGGGACTTGTAAAAAGTGACCTCAACTCTCGTGGGCACCCGGTCACCAAAACACGGCGCACTAAACAAAGCTGGTGATACGCAACAAGCTGCTGTGCTGTCAAAAACCCAAGACGGTGTGTTTCATGACTAATGTGGTCGTACTTTTTCTTGCGACAAATGATTCTAGCACTGAAGTTGATCAGTTTTTGAACGCGGTGAAGCTGGGTTACGCCACAAGTGCCATAAATCGACATGCAATACCGGATGGCTGACAGTACCAATGACAGCACGATCTGCATGATATCGTGAAAGGTCGTGAAAGGTCATGATGAACACAATATCCATGACCTTTCACACATTTGACGCGTAGTTATGCTGTCATGAGAAAGGAACACGTCTGAATCCAAAGGACAAAAATGTCCCAGTCGTAGCGCATATGCCTTTGTGCTTGAAAGCTGCTGTACCATAGTCCCTATATCTCTGCATAATGGAATGCACTCAAGAATATACGTTCTGAAATGTTTCTGAAAATACTTGTCTGATTGATATAAACATAAACAATTTGATTCCTTGTTTTCGTTGGTTTGCGTAAAAAAAAAACAGAATGCGACGTTGTATATTTAAAAACAATTTAATTTATCGCGCATGGATATCAGAATCATCAAAAACACATTCTTCTATAGTCACATTGAGGCACTGATATACATAACCTGGTGCCACCTCTCTTATCGTTGTTGCTGCTAGGCATTCCTCTGAACCGAAGCACACCAATTCAAGAAAAACAATAGCTGTTACTTGGGCTCGTAAACCTTCTGGTTTCTAAAGTTTCCAGCGGGACCATAGTTGCAGAAGTAGAACCTCTCTACATACCGGCCTCTTGGGCGTTTAGTCTCAACATATCCGCAGCCAATTTCTGTTGTCTTCGCCCAAATTATCTGAGTGAGATGACCGGCATTACCCCCGCGATATTTGAGATTATTCAGGGTAGACCGGACGTAAGGGAGCTCACTCGAGAACCAAGCTTCCGCAATTCTGGTCTTCCAGTCCTTCTCCATGTTTCTAGTCCAGGCGTAATTTTGTCCTATGCTTTTCTTGGGCGGCAGATCGCGGCACTGGTCGTGTCCAGTCTGGCATTGGTTGGCCCAGCGCTGTGCGATCCTGGCCAGTGACGAGCTCCAGCGCAGGTTGGGTATGTACCGTGCCGCCGGCAGACCTCTGTTCCTGTGGGCACCCCTCTGGACGGCGCGGCGCAGGTCGTTGTGGACCCGCAGGATCTCGGCCCTGTCGGCGGCGCTTACCGAGCTGACGCGCACGGCGCCGCACGCCCGGGAGACTCTGGACGAGGTGAACCGGCACATGGTGTGCTGGCTCGGCGACCGGCACGAGGAGATGTTGCAGAAGTTTTGGGCAGAGCTCGGCTGGAGCGCGGCCAGCGCGGCCAGCAGCACACAGGAGAGGCGCAGGGGCGCGGCCATGGTGACGTCGGAGGCTGCGAGTTGTGCTGACCTGGCACTGACTGCTGCGGCTTTATACCCCGCCATACGTACGGCATAAATTGCAGGTTCACCTACGCTCTGTCAATCACTGTTGGAGGCTATCATATCCTCCCATGGCAACACGAAACAACGAAGTTCATGGCAACTCAGTTTACACCCACAGTTTCATGACATTCCGCTTTCAAAGCATTACAATGAAACAGGTCGTAAAAGAGTGAACGTATTTTTGAAGCGACCAATTACCAATTTGACGTGGCCGGGCCCGGGGGGTAATCCCAACCACCGCAGCCCGGGGGGGGCGTTTTTCGCCCCCCTGTCTAACTCCGTCTAACTCCGGAGCTACGGAAAAAAAGCGATACCAAACGAAAGGTCCTTACGAGACGATTCTAAGCACCTAAAATTTTTGACCTAAGGTCAATTTTCAAGGTCAGAGGTCAAGGTCAAAAGCAAAAACCGGCACATGTGTAGTGATCTCAAAGTAAGCCTTCTAGAGGACGGTAGGCTGCATCGAACCGACAAAAATGGGTGTCAAACAAAAGAAGAGAATCTGAGGATTCTGAAAATGTGCTTAAAATTAAAAGTCAAGGTCAAGGTCACGCTCAAAATTGACCTCAAACTTGGCACTTTTTCGCACATCTTGCGTGCTAGCTTCCAAGATGTTTTGAAATGTTTTGAGGCTTATCAGTTCCCCATTTGTGGTTCATCTTACGATACAAGGCTGCTCAAAGGTCAAGGTCACAGAAGAATATCCCTGCTAGAGGCTATTTCACTGATTCAAGTTAGTAATAATAAATAAGACAATTTTGCCGTCCAGAATCTCCAAATGAAGGCTTAGAGGAAAATAGATGCCAGATTCGTGATCAGCGGGTACAAATCCATCATGAATGACCTCTCATGTGTCAAGGTCAACCAGAGGTCATTCGAGGTCACATGAGGTCAACATAAAACTTGAACTTTTCCAAACAAAATATATATCATTCGACGCGGCTTGACAAGGTGAATGCGATGGTACCATTGCCGTAGCACTAGGACATTTTTTGTCGAAGTTATTTGCGAAAAACTATAACCACATTTCGGGGTCGTTGACCTGACCTCTGACCTCAGGTCACCAAAACTATTTTTCTATTTTTCTCTAGGCCAAACGCTACACAGCCGTGCTCACAATTTGTCTTTATCTCTAAAACTCTATTTTTAGCAGCTATTTGAAGTTTGCGTCTGTGACGCCGAAGTTTGCCGTGCAGGGGTCTAGGAAAATGGACCTTGTGACGTCATCAATGGGGCTAGATCCAAATTTTCTACTTCAGAAGATGTCAAATTGATGAGAGAAAAGGTACTGAAAGTTTCGCTTTCCTATCCCTAAGCGTTCGGGAGCTATCGCAAATATTCGCCAGGGGGGGGGCCAAAAACGCCCCCCCCCCGGCCCGCGAGGGTTGATGGATGCGTATTTTTTCACCTTTGCCTACAAGCTACGATACAACTGCTGTTGAAAGTAAATTGCATTATGAATGAACGTACACAAATGTTTTTGAGTTCATTCTGCCACTACGGAAAAAATGTCGAGCTTGAGATAGTTGTTACTAAACTGTTCGATCAAACAGAGTTTCTATTTTGCCCAGAATCGTTGCCAGTTGCAAAATATTTGCTTTCTATCATCACTTGACAAATTAAACAAATGTTCATTGCTCGGGGCATACATAATTACATCACACATTTTACGCGCAATTAGCACCGTACCTATAGGTAAGCTGCTGTGTTCTCTATTTTGCTCGTTTCATCATATGACCATACTATCAGCATTTGACTATTCGCCTCAATTATCGTGCGGCTGAGCATAGCAGCCTGACCTTGACCGCGCGGCGGGCCGCGGTGGCCGGCCGGCCGGCCGTCAGCTGACCTCGCCTGCGGCACGGAGGGGTCAAGTGACCCGCCCTCGGAAGGAGCGGGGCTCGGCCGCGGCTGCCCGGCAGAATAGGACGGGGTGGGCCGCCGGACGGTCGTAGGGTCTCTGGCGGTAGTGCCTCCTTGCCTTCCGTCTGCACGTAGTCTAATCTAATCGATCAGCTCTTTATTAGGATTGTGTTCGTCTACTCGTTCGGCAATAGTTCAAACATTATTTTGCTGCCCGACAATAGTTTGCATTAGTTTGCAATAGTTGGTTTTGATCAGCATCTAGCCGCTCGCTTGCGTTTGAGTTGCTGGAGATGACTTTTGAGTGCGCACTTCCATTCAGGCATTGCTTTAATATGAGTTGAAGATTCGTTATCCAGAGGCTGGCACTTCCTTCGCTGTTGTTTCGCTCCATTTCTCACGACTATTGGTTCAGTGCTATAGGCACCTGAAGACTATGATGATTGCATACCTACTTGTCTCCAATGTATCGTGGCCGTATCTTCAGATGGCGATAAAGGAGTAAGGATATTATCCCTCACTGGATTAGTTGAATATATGTGTATGGAAAAACATAGGGGCTAAAAAGAAATTTTCTAAATGATGCATTTTTACGTTTAGTTGACTGTTCCATAAGCATAAAGACTCTACTTTTTATCAATGGCTGAGAGCGCATCACATGTATTCACAATTCACATATTTACAATACTTGTGCAACAATATTGGTAAATACCTAACCTAAAAGCCATTGATCCTCGACAAATAATCATATACAATCATGATACAATGAAATACAATAATATCCTAAAAAAACATCAGTTCCTACAACTAAAAAGTAAGAATGGCTACGCTACTAGAAAAAACAATGCTGACGAAATTTGGAAAGATGCATAGTTATTGCTTAAAGGTGTCCATTGTCCAAACCGTTCCCTAAACATTGTCCGGGTAGCTGTGACACCGTTTCTGCCGTTATCGCAGACGTCACTCGCCAGTGCTCTCCAGATAGTTCAGCGTACGGACGATCCAGTCGTAGAAGGCCGCCACTCGCGTATACACCCCCGGTTTGAGCGGCTTGCCGCAGCCGTCACCGAACGATACAATCCCCGCCAGATACCAGTGTGGCTCGGCGGCCTCGGCTTCGTAGCACGCCAGAGGCCCACCTGTGCGAAGAAAAACAGGACGGTAATTTACAGATTCTGTAAAAAAATGTTTGAACGGTGACGTGATTTTTACTCTTCGACTTGCAGAATCATTTGAAAAAATGAGGGTTTGCATTTCCTGAAGGTTCAAGCGATCTTCAATCTCTGTCACTTTTATACAAGTGGTATAATGAATTATTAAATACGTATCTCTAGACAGTGGTTAATCATCCACGAGTTCACGAACCTGAGTCTCCCTCGCAGGAGTCGACGCCGCCGGTGAGGTTGCCGGCGCACACCTGAATGTCGCCGTCAAAGTTGTCTCCGTAGCCGTGGCGGCTCTCGCAGAAGGCCCGGGAGACGGTGGGCACCGGGGAGCCGGCCAGTACCTCGGCGAGCCCGCCCTCCGGGTTGGTGTAGCCCCAGCCGGAGACCACGCAGCTCTCCGGGAGCTCGGCACCCGGCGTCGGCTCCGTGATACACAGTGGCTGAACCTGTTGGAAGTCATTGGAAATTATTATTGAGTTTGTTTCAATGGTATTCTCGTCTTCTCTTAATCTAGTGCACAAGATCGGTCTAGCAATAACTTAAATCAATAGGCATCGCAGAAATGTGTAGATGTTAAATATATAGCCCTTAGGCACTCATCTCACCTTGTCACTGAAGATGATTCCTCTGTCTCTGCGAGGGAGCAGCTTCAGAATGGCGATATCGTTCGGGTAGCCCACCGATGCCTGCGCCTGGTTCACGAAGCCAGGATGAAGAATCATCTCCTGGATGGCGAAGGTCTGCTCCTGTTCGTCGAGCTGTCCGCGGTCAAACTGCCCCACCACCACCTGATACATGCTCCTGGCATGTTCCAGACAATGTGCCGCCGTCACCACATACCTCTCCGCAACCACAACGGCGCCGCAGTGGTGCTCAAAGTAGCGCCCCTCGCGCACCTGCAGCTGCGCCATCCACGGGTACTCTCCATAGGCGGCCCTGCGGCCCTCCAGACCCACCACCCGCAGGTCGGCGGCGGCAGCGAGGCGCGGCCCGAAGCCGGGAAGGCCGAGGTCCTCGCCGAACACGGCCAGCTCAAAATGGGACGTGTCAGGCCCGGAAATAGTGCGGAGGCCGCAGGTCCCAGGAGCCGGCAGTGGGCTCGCCTCAGACGGGTTGGATGGAGTCCCCGGGTGCGCAGACTGCAGCCGGGAGCGCAGCAGGCTCGTCGCCGCCGTCGCGTTGTAGAGGTTGGCGTTGCTCTGCTGATGTGTGAACGTGCGCCAGCCGCAGTCGTCGCAGCCGATCTTGCAGCTGCGGCCGCCAGACGCGGCGTAACTGAACATGGAGCAGGACGGGTGGAAGAAACAGTAGGCGGCGCACGTCTGCAGGCTCACCTGGAACGCCATGAAGCGGCCGTTGTCGATGGAGGCCCCCAGGGTGAGGCGGTAGGTTCTCAGGATCGACAAACAGTGCTCCTCGTCTGCCGAGCCGGACCCCTCGCCGCCGCCGGACAGCGCCCTACAATCGTCCACACCATCACAGAGACTGGCGAACGGCAGGCAGGCCTCAGAGTCGCAGCCGCCGGCGCAGCGGCGGCCAGAGTTGAGGCAGGTCTGTGAGACGGACGAGCACTTGAACAGATCGCCACTGCACTGGTCGCTGCCGGCAGGCGTCTCTCCCAGGGAGACCACGGCGTTCTGGGAGGGCGTGTGCAGCTCGTGGCAGGATAGACCAGATGCTGTAGAGACCGCTGATGCAAGTAGAAGAAGACAGACGGACAGCATGTTGGCGGAAGAACACTGACAAAACACAGAAATAAGTTAGATCGTGTTGAGGCAAGGAACATCCACGGAATGAGCGGCTGTGATTCAATGACAATCCGTATGCTGTCAGGTAGAGTTCTGCACGGCTGCAATTTTCCACAGCCTAGCCGCCCCGCAGCCGTGGCTCCACAGCCACAGCCGCCCATAGCCGTGGCAAACTGTGGGCAGCCAGCCGTCAGCCGGCCGGGCATACTTTCAATGAAATGCAACCAAATAGTATATAATAAGTTGTTTTTAGTGGGCTATAGATTCCCAAGCTCATGAAGCATCATAGGTTAAGCGGTTGTGTATCTGGCTTTAGGCCAAAGGCCTGAAGCCTGATGCGCAACGCATGCCTACACAAGCCCTTGCAAGGGGTTAAGAAAGATGGGTAGGTAGGTACCTACATCAACAGAATACATAAACAACGAACCAGAATAAAAGCACTAGCAGTGTAGACATCTAATGCCAAATCCTGAAGCATGGTTGTGGGACAGAACAACAGACCCTGATGCTTTTCATTATCAATGTTAGGTAGGTATGGAAAATGAAACTGAAGTTGATGGACTGTCAAACAGTGATTGTCTAGTCAAAACTCTTGCTTCTTTCTTACCTTGCATATTTTCTGGGGTGTGATATGCCAGGCTTGAAGCAGCCTTCTAAGCAAGTCTCAAACTAATTTGATATGCAAGGCATCAAAACACTAGTGAGCATCGAAGAAAGAAAAACATTCATCTATTTTGATTTTTCCAAATAATGATCTTCGCTCAAATCCCCAAGGACGTGCGAGCCACAATTGCCCCTTTCAATCAAAATTTTACTTGAGTTTTTGATGACGTCAATAGCAAAGAAGTGGCAATTAATTGTTTTGTGTCACTATAAACAGCCATACAAGTTAAAAATAATAAATAATAATGCTATACAGTTAAAAACGTGCTCTCAAACAAAGAATAAATATCAAATTTTTACATTTCCAGAAGAAGACGTCATTTTATTAGTAATGTCAACAGCTCGCGTATGAAATATTGTGTTCAGGGTTTTCACCGTCATGTGAATCACGTGTTCAGGGTTTTCACCATCATGTGAATTAACCGTAAGTAAGGTTCATGCTCACTTATAATCTAATTCCATTGGCTTCGTTGATCAGCATTTTCTGTTAGCGGTCACTCACACACCAGTTAGAACATAAAGCGCCAGTTTTATATTATGTAATTGGACTTGCCGAAAATCCAGAAATACATCTAAGAGTTATTTTAGATAATATTTTATGAAGCCTTTACCTGCCTTTACCTAGGCGTGATTTCTTTTTTCTATTACCTGAAAGAATTATTGAACGCTCGTCTTCAATAGCTGTAAGGTGCTCTCCTAATGATCAGGTGAGATTGGTTTGAGAGGGATGTGACAATGCAACATGTTGCATTTTCTGAAACTGTCAAGCTCTTGATGATGAAGGAACAATTGGTACCTATAACTAGTATGCTGTACCAGAGTGCAAACTCCCCTACAGCAAATGGTAAAACCATTACAGGTTTTCAAAGGCTTCACCACTTTCAATGTTGCTGGGCATCTTTTGCATGATTTTTACAGGCTAGACTGCTTATCAGAATGTAAGATTAAGGATTTAAAATTTTATATTTGAGTACTTAAGATTGAGCTTGAAATCTCACAGCCGTGGCCACAGCCGTAGCCGTGTTCTTGGAGATAATTGCAGCCGCCCCGGCCCACAGCCGTGGGGCTGCAGCCAGCCGCGGCTGCAGCCGGCCGGTGCAGACCTCTACTGTCAGGTTGACCCACACTAACCTGTACAACTATCCTAAGACGCCGGCTTTTGACGTTCAAATGTGGCGTAGCAGCTGCACACGACCGTTCTGCATCCGTGTCGCCGACAAACTGAACCTAGACGGAATATGGACCGGGTCGATCCCTCGTCATAACTCTTCCAAACATCCTACCAGGACACCAGCGACCCTGGTAGATTGACACTGATAAGGGGCCAGAAGGTGAATAACAAGCGCTCCCCCTCCATCCCCGGTTGGACGCTACTATGGCCATGTCAATCAATGTAAAATGATTATTGTAGCGAGTTCTGTGGTACGAAAAGATCCAGTTTATCATTATGTCGATCTCGCCATAACATTTCGCAATTGACGCCGCTCTGCTGGCGGAGGGACTCGGGATAACGTAAACAGTCAGCGCTAGGCCGCATGCCAAGTAAGTCTCCGGAAAAACCAAGTGAGTGGGCCATTACGAAAAGCCGTAAAGATAAGCCGAACTCGGGTACTTACCATTCATAGGATTATAAACAGCATACCGATGGCTGCCGCGCAGTGCCAGGTTCGGATGTGAGACACGAGTACTTTGGCATGGTCGCTGCAGACTGAAGCCAGCGTTTTAGCATAAATTTTATATTCATACGTATAAGTCTTCGCTGGCTGGTGACATATGTTCGGAAGTTCAGCACTGCTACTCGTATTATGTAGTCTCTACTCTCAAAATTAATAAATTATTAGGAGAATTAGTTAGTATCAGACGTTATTCCTCTGGTTTCTCCATAGCCGCTGCAAATGAATTTCCGGGTAAAGTTTTTACGGTATCACCAGCACATGGCAAATTACAACAGTAGACCTGCCTGCACCTACCTATCTATGGAGAGGGTGATACCGGATCAACGTCCTCCACAACCCCGTCGAAATCCAGCACTCACTCCGCTATGTCCGTGGCTTGGAGCACCTCGTCGCCAATGCGATAGACGCAGTGGTTCTGCTCGGACTGTGAGTTTGTGCTGGTCTTGGCCCGAGGTCACCGCCCAGTGCCCCCGAGCGGTCACGCCACACTGACGTCATCACACTGCGCACGGTGGATCGAACCAGGGGCGCACAGCCAGAATGCAGACAAATTTGCAGCACGCTTTTGTCAGCATGGCCTATTGCACCTCCCTGATCAAGATATGCCTAGATCTGCTATCTTTTTTTGCCCATACAGCCTCTGTTGTTCACCTGGTTTTAAATCAGCGCTAGGCACCGTTTCCTTAGGATTTCAGCACTGAAAAACAGTTCTCGATGGGATTTAGGAATGGTGAGTAGGGCTGGAAAGGCTTCAGTGAATTCCTCGTCGATGCGTCTTGCGGATCACGGTGACAGGAAGATTTGTCCATGATGATGGTAGCCCGCTCGACCCGCAGGATAATGGCTGGGGGACAGATGGCATGTCGGTATCATGCATAAATCCCTCATGGCTGCAGGGCGTATTTTAACATGTTAACTGGGTCGGCAATTGCCGACCCAGTCACGGAGAATGCCGACCCAGTGACAGCCGTTTGCCGACCCAGTTGCCGTCCCCTCTAGGATGCAGCACGCACATGCAGGCTAGGTGCCGTCATTCATAGTGAGGCTGCTGCCCTCCGAAATGATAATGCCGCCTCTTAAAGTGAAGCAGCCGTCTATAGAAAGTGATGATCCCACAACTCAATGTGACAGTGCCGCCCCTAAATCTGTTAGTAGTCCCACTCAATGTAATGGTGCCGCCCTTCTAAGCATCTGTGGAGCCCCTCAATGTGATGATACCGCCCCTCAAGAAGATGATGCCGCCCCTTTCAGTATCGGTGGCGCCCCTCAATGTGATGGTGCCGCCCTCAAAGTGCCGGTGGCGCCCCTGAATGTGATGGTGGTGCCCGCCAACGAGTCGATGGCGCCCCTCGAAATGATGCTGCCGCCCCTTAAAGTGTTGGCGCCGCCCCTTATAGTGTCAGTGACGCCCTTCTAAGTGTCGGAGGAACCCACCAATATAATGGTGCCGCCCCTCTAGATATCCACATAGCCCCTCATTGTGATGGAGCCGCCCCTCAAGCAGATGATGCCGCCCCTGAATGTGATGGTGCTGCCCGCCAACGAGTTGGTGGCGCCCCTCAAAATGATGCTGCCGCCCCTTAAAGTGTTAGTGCCGCCCCTTATAGTGTCAGTGACGCTCTTCGAAGTGTCAGAGGAACCCACCAATATAATGGTGCCGCCCCTCTAGGTATCCACATAGCCCCTCATTGTGATGGAGCTGCCCCTCAAGCAGATAATGCCGCCCCTCAAGAAGATGATGCCGCCCCTTTCAGTATCGGTGTCGCCCCTCAATGTGATGGTGCCTCCCTCAAAGTGCCAGTGGCGCCCCTAAATGTGATGGTGTCTCCTGTCAACGAGTCGGTGGCACCCCTCAAAATGATGCTGCCGCCCCTAAAAGTGCTGGTGCCGCCTCTTACAGTGTCAGTGGCGCCCTTCAAAGTTTTGGAGGAACTCATCAATACAATGTTGCCGCCCTCTAACTTTCTGTAGCGCCCCTCCATATACATAATGGTGCCGCTTCTCAAACCATCCGTGGCGCCCCTCAAAGTGATGGTGCCACCCCTTACAGTGTCGGTGGTGTCTCCTCAAAAGTCAAGGTGCCGCCTCTCAAAGAAATGCTGGTGTCCCTCGAAGTGTCGGAGGCGCTCCTCAATGTCATGTTGCCGCCCCTCAAACCTTCCGTAACGCCCCTCCACGTCATGGTGCCGCCCCCCAATGTGCTCACGGCGCCCATATGTGATAGTAACGCCGGTCAAAGTGCTCCTAGCAGTGTCGGTGGCGCCCCTTATAGAGTCGGTGGCGCCCCGAACAGTATCGGTGGTGGCCCTCAAAGTGATGATGTTACCCTCAAACAAACGGTGGCGCCCTTCGAAGTATCGGAGTTCCTAAATATCATACCTATTGCCGCCCATTAACGATCTGTAGCGCCCCTCCATATGATGGAGCCGCCCCTTAAAGTATCCGTGGCGGTCCTTAAAGTTGCAGTGCCGCCCCTTACAATGTGGGTGGCGTCCTCAAAATAAAAGTGATGTCCCCCCCCCCCGAGTAATGTTGGCGTCTCTTCTTTAAGTATCGGAGGCGCTCCTCATTGTCATTTTGCCCCACATCACTGCTCACATGGCGCCCTTCAATGTAATGGTGCCACCCCTCAACGCTCAAAGACATAATTGCGCTACTCACAGTGTCGGTGATGCCCCTCAAAGTGGTTTAAGTGCCCTAAAAAAAAATGGTGGCGCGCCTCAAAAATCAAAATCATGCTGTCGTCCCTTAGCATATCTGCAGCGCCCCCAAAATGATAGTGCCTTCCCTTAACCGGCGCCGGGCTGAGTTTGTTTAAACCCCCCTCCCGACCCCTATAACTTGGCTACTTAGGCCACGTAGCGACACGCGGTAAGCGGTATTCGAAAGAGTGTCAAAAACTACTTGGGTTAGTTGGTTAACCGTGCTTTGGTTAGGTCAAGTCAAATGTCAAATATCAGGTGACCAGAGGTCATCAAAGGTGAAATGTGGGTGAAATGTTGTCTGTTTCAACATTTATTGACAAACTGGCGCATAACTCGGGGAAGAATAGAACTACAGCACCGCGAAAAAGCGCATTCGATAGCTCTTCAACGTTCCTATGAAGTCCTCAGACTTGACCTAACATCAACGGCTTAACCTCCAGAGCACAACTTGTTTAACCCGTGCCGGGCCGGGGAGGGTTGGAGGGGAAAGTGGACCCCCTCCGCCCCTCTACTGAGCTGTTTTAATGAAGAACCTTTTTACTGTAATAATTATTGACTCACGAAAGTTATGACATTGTTTTTTTCAGTACTGTGCTCCTCTCGTCGAGATGCGTCGAATGAACTATAATTTGACATTCAAACGTCATTTGGGAAATTTGAGCTCAGGTCCAGGTCATGACCTGGCTGGTAAAGGTCATGTTGCATATCAGTCGATTTGTATCGTCAAACTGAAATCATCTATGTAAGGTGTTTTCATCGCTCAGGCATGTCGCATGTCTCTATCAAAAGTTATTGGAAAAAACTGCTGGAGGCCTACCATGACCTGACATGACCTCAAGGACATAACGAGGGGTCGTGGGTGGCAATTTTCCGATTAAGTGTGTCATTTTTAATTGTTTTCTGATGTTTAAATTCGTTAACTTTGACATTTGTCTACCTATAAAAAGAGGCACATGCCTTGATTTTCTCCCATTTCCTTACACCTAATGGAAGGGTCGCAAAATTGTCCTTACCTTTGGTCAGAGACATCGCAATTTCGAGACTTACATTTTAACCCTCGCCGGCACAGGGGGGTTGATGCAACCCCCCTAAGGTTTTTCGCGAATAACTCGTGTAAAAAGCGGCCGATCGCAACGAAACTTTCAGTACCCTCGAATTGATCAATTTTACACCTACCCTGCAAATTTTATGACCCTGACTTCAATGACCTTTGACCTGTGACCTCTTTTCCGTGACCATGTTTGGCCGAAATCAAGATTCGGCGTATGTCGGCTCGCATTAACCGCGCGTTTGCAAGCTTTTCGTGGTTTCAAACGTTCAAACATGTGATTTGATGTTGCTCCCATGCATTAGGGTGGGTGTCAAGGTCACCTGAAGGTCAGGTCAGGTCATTGACCTTTGGTGACCTCGGTTCACTTTTTCGAGTTTTACATGTTTTTAGGCTAGTTTTTGGAGCTGAATTCGAATTTAGCAACCATTTAAACATTTACGAAGTAGTTTTGGTGCCTTCGTAACATGTTACGAAGCTGTCAGAGGCGGATGACAGGTACTACGAATACCCGTTTCGACCCCTACCGGTTGACCTGACCTGACCTGACCTGACCTGACCCGACCTGGTCTAAACGCTTAACGACATCATCTGTGATCAAAACTAACACGATATTTGTGATCAGCACCCCGGAAAACCCCTTAGCAGCCACAATTTACGAGTTTCAAACAGGTCCCGATATTCCCGATTTTTGGGTCATTGACCTGACCTGGAAGGTCAACCGATGACCTAGGACCTTGAAATTGGGTATCATTGGCTTCCTCTCGTGACGGGCAACACGCTCGTTTTTTTCTGCGAAGCTCTAGCTCCATCAGGGGCCAAACGCGAGGGGGGGGGGGTCGTACCAACCAACCCCCCCTTGTGCCGTCGAAGGACTCAAAATGGCCTGTGCCGGCGAGGGTTATATATACAGTTACGTTACACACTGTTTGTCTTATCAATCGCTGAAGTTATAAAGGGATCGTTCAGTCGGTATATCTATGGTGAGCATTTGCCTGTTCCGTGGCGCAGTTGGTAGAGCACCGGACTCCCCGCATTGTCTTCGCTTGCGTTTTGTCCGCCGGCCGAGCCGGAGAGAAAGTTACCGAGTGAAGGTCATTCAAATTTCAAAAACTCAATGACAATGTCACTGGGGTCACGAAAATGTTTGAGTAGGTAGGTATAACATTCATTAACCTGGGGGGGGGGGATGAACGTATCGTTGCAATACGCTGTTCATTACGCGAGTGTTCATTACGCGAGTCATTACGCGTTTCTCGACCTCCCCATTATAAGTCAATGGGAAAAAATCAACTCCCCGTTTTTACCACTAAAACGGGTCGGAATGGCCCCATAAACCATGCATGACTTCATATACGATCAACCTTCACTACCTTGAGGTCTGTTTTGCTGTTGGGCAGCTGTAAGGTCATGTGACGTCATCAAAAGTCACCAAAGTTTTTTTTGCCAATAACTCCGTACAGGAACAAGATACAGTCGCGCAGATGGCCTCATTGTGTTCAGCTCGTCAAGGCACATCGAATGATATACATGATGACCTCGAGGTCACGTGACCTGAGGTCAACCTTTGACCTTCACCTTTCGAGGTCAACATATATATATCATTCGATGTGGATTGACGAGAGGATCACGATGATGCCCTTAGTTTGTTCCTATCTTGACTAGTTCGAAAGTTATTCGAGAAAAACTCCATATCTAGCGCCACCATTTTGACTTTTTTTTACCCCTTTGACGTCATCTTTGACCTGACCTGAAAATGACATCAGTAAAAATTGTAGACCTTGTCCGTTCGTATCCCATGCCGCTTACCGCTTGTGGCTATCTTGCTTCGTTCTCGAGATTTCAGGGGGGCGGTCATCCGCCCCCCCCCCGTCGGTACGAAGTTGGCGCAGACCCCCGTCGGTGCGCGGGTTAACGTGGGGGGATGAACGTATTGTTGCAATACGCTGTTCATTACGCGAGTAACTAATAAATAAGAAATGTATGAGTTCATCCTTACTCCACCCGCTCTCCCTCTCCATAAAAAGAGAGTTAATTGTGTTGCATTTTATTTATATGCAGAAAAATAGAGGCGTCAAAGGATATGGCCGAATATCAGCGACCCTTGCTGTGTAAGCAATGGGGTATGACAAGTGGGGGTAATGGCCCCGTCCAGCGCCCATAAAGTGGGCACACTCGTGCGACCTGCCGACCACTGTTCTAGATAGAGCCATAAAACGCCGTGAATATTTTAAGCTTGACGATACGAATCGACTGGTATGTAACATGTTTACCTCAGGTAAAATTTTAAAATTATGTTTTGTTAGTTCAAATTATAGTTCATTTATCACATTATGATGAGAGAAATACTATATCCCGGAAAAATAAACGTAATACCGCTGAGCTTAGGTTGAATCTGAAATCATTACTTAGGAAGAGTTATAAAAGAACCGTCGAACGTGTCTTTTTTGGTAGGTAGGTATGTAACAGTAGTAGGTAACAGTAGGTAGGTAACAGTAGGTATGCCGCCCCCTCAGATGCCAAGTGCCGCCCCTATGAGTGCAAAATGCCGCCCCTAATTGTGATTGCCGACCCAGTGAAAATCCCTTAAAATACGCCCTGCATGGCTGTATCCATCTCGCTGGGTATTTCACATGCGCTGTCTGCTGCTCCAGCAGCGCCCGTATTGCTTGGTATAGCGCCAGCCGATCAAGTGGGCCGACGGCCGTCCCGCGTCAGATTCTTAGATAGGCTGAGCACGCCACGTTTCGACGCCTTCGCAAAAAAAAAACACCCACCCACAAAGACAGTCATTATCTTTATTTGTTGCGCACTTTTATCGACAGAGTGATATTTTCGGAATAAGGTCTGATGTAACACTAATAATGGAAGATTCTCGTCTTCGGAGATAAGCATCTGTGCAGAAAATAGGTGATATTACCGATACTGGTTTATATTCTACATTTCTTCGAAGTTCTTTCCGACTATCGTACTGAGAGCACACGAGCGCATTAGGTCGTCCACAAGAACAGCTTCGATAGTTTTTCCTTCGGACACATGGTCTACACATTATTTACGCAAAAGCGCACACAAAATTACGAATTGAGTCGGTCATTATTTTTAAGATTTTAGGAGCCTCAGCATATGTAATTGCGTTAAGCAAACTAAGTGTCCAATGCGGGATAAGTGCATATGCAATATGCATACGCCACAAGAGACCTGTTATCAGAAAAGGTCTTCAAAGGTCTTGCAAGGTGAGTGGTCAACATTGTGTGATCAACATTGCTTTTCGTGTACATACTCACTCATGTGATCGCTAACGGCGATTCAATATAGCATACATGATAAGAGTTTGCCCCCATCGCGCCCCCCCCCCCCTAGCCGAGGCCGGGCGCCGTGCGCCACATTACTGACTACAACGAGTCCTACACTGATTGCAATCAGGTGTCTCACCACCTGCAATGTGCCTGGGGAGCAGCTCACTCCGGTGTGATTTCCTCAGTGTATGAACCTGTGACTTTCTGTACATTTATCTTGTGCCCGGCCAACCAGGATGACCTCCTCTTCCGTACCTACAATGGTTCTTTCCACCCATGTCATTGCTTGCCTGGCCCCAGTCATTGACGTTCTTAGCCTGCCATGCATTTTTAGCCCTATATACTCTTTGCTTGCCTGGCATCAGTATTGATGTCCATGGCCTACGCCCAATGCCCTGTCGCCCTGACGCCATCTTGGCGGGTCCGACCAGCCATTGCGTGATCGTGACGTCAGCTCTAGGTGGCACTTCCAACGCTGGTAGCGCCGCGGGCGGCGGCAGCAACGATAGCTACTGATGGTCACGTGGTTGCCAGCGGCGCAGGCGCGGGCGTGTGACACTTGACCGTCCTCCGCACCGGGGGCCGGCCGGGTGACTCATCCGGCGTGACGTCAGCTGCCCTTGACAAGGTCGTGACGGCCTGTGGGCGGCGGTCGGACTGCCGTTGATCGGGGGTGTTGCCTTGCACCGGTCTGCAGCGGGCCGAATGGGGGTCAGGTCACTGCTGGCAATGTGCCACTCTGTGGATGCACGTATGCCTGCTGCTATGCTGCATTGCTGACATGGGCCTGTCCACCGACCGTATACCTACACAGAACGCGCACCTACCTGACACCAGTTGGCAGCGCCAGACTGTGACGCAAAGATGCTTTCCGACCCGGCGCCAAGGCTGAGAAATAATAAGGGTCGGCAGACACCGCCTCTGGCGGCGACTGTTTGCAGTAGTGGCCCTGTCCCATCCCCTCACCTGTCCACTTAGACTCCCCTACAGACATCAAGGGCTGTTTGTGATAGCTGCATCTACACACATGCACGGTCTCAACTTCCCCTCCTCGCTCGCCCAGGTGTCTGTGTCTGCCGATTCCTTCTTGCGTAGCTGAAAGACGCCCCGAGCGGAGGGGAAGGAGACTTGGGAAGGAATGGGGTGACGGTGGGGCGGTGGGCGGGTCTGTTAGGATCCTAGTTTTACTCTCGCTGATGCTAGTTGGTGTGGAACCCGTTCGGCGTAGGAAGACTATGGTGGTGATGTTTGCCAGCGTTGCCTTTCTTTCACGGATTTTGTTTTCTTGTTGGATTTTGCTGCTCACATATCGATTCACACATACATCACTCGCACTCAAGACTGAACAGTGAACATTCAACTCGACTAATGTGCCCCGCGCCCTTGCCGACGGCTCGCCGGCGGGCACCCGACTCCGTCTCCCGGCCGGCCCGGGCGCGGCGCCGCGGCGCGGCCGTCCCGGTTACCTGACCCGGCCGGCTAAAGGTCAGACCGGCTCCGGCCGCCGCTGCCAGCCCACGGCGGGCCCGGGGAGGGGTACTACGCTACATTCTTCCATTGTCGTGGTAACATGCTTGGTAAGGGCAAACATTGGCATTATTTCTTTCCCATTAATATTAAAGTATTGCCTGATTATCTCGTCTAGTGCTGCCATCTGTCGAATGTTGTTCTCCCTAGTTGTTCTTCCTAGGGGTCGCCGCAGTCTGCCCCGCCGCAGTCTGCCCCGACACTAATGTTCCGTGATTATCGCCAGCTCTAATACGGTCCCATTATTTTTGCTCTGTGATAATTTTATGCGGAGTTTCAGTTTTTGGACTGTTTCTGCTATGTTTTGACCCCGTCCCTGTGGAACACTTAGATCAAAGGCAAGCTTACCTGACCATTCATTGTCTTTCATTCTCCTTGTTTTAGCGGTAAAACAAAAAGTAGTTCTTGCACTGATAATATGTATTACCTACTACACGAGAGAGGTGATACAACAGTATGGACGAAGACGGTGAAATAAATAAGTAGATGAAATATACGTTTGACGGTTCCTCTGCTAGCCTTCAGGGCTCCCTCCCACATGGGTCAGAGCCGTCGTTGGCGCAGCAGCAAAAATCGCGTGGTAGCCAACCTCCCTCCGCGCTACAACATTACAAAGCCATGTCATACCACACTTCGTGGAAGACATCGCGAACCGCTCTTCGCGGCACGCGTCTGGCCCCATGTTGAGCGTCGTGGAGTCTGAGTGAGATCTCCTCTCGTCTACATGATGCGGGCGGGGATCTGGGCGCAGGCCATCTGGGCTCCGCTGGCGTCCTTGAGGCGCCATTCGATGGTGACGGAGACGGGCGGGTACTCGTTCAGCACGTCCACACTGGTGGTGAAGCCGAACTCGTCGCCGCTCGACAGCGGGCACGAGCCGGACGTCAGAGAGCTGCAGGCCTGCGGGTGGGGGACGGACGTCAGAGAGCTGCAGGCCTGCGGGTGGGGGACGGACGTCAGAGAGCTGCAGGCCTGCGGGTGTGTGTGTGGGGGGGGGACGTCAGAGAGCTGCAGGCCTGCGGGTGGGGGACGGACGTCAGAGAGCTGCAGGCCTGCGGGTGGGGGACGGACGTCAGAGAGCTGCAGGCCTGCGGGTGGGGGACGGACGTCAGAGAGCTGCAGGCCTGCGGGTGGGGGACGGACGTCAGAGAGCTGCAGGCCTGCGGGTTGGGAGCGAGGGGTGCGGTGTTAGAGATGTATGTACAGCTGGGCTGGTAAATGTGGACATTGGGCACTGACCAGTGCAATGCAATGGTGTGAGTTTATTAGTTGGTGAGCATGCAAAATGAATGAGTCGTTGAATAATACAGAGCACTCAATGAAAAATTAAACACTTGGTGACAGATTGCGCGGCAAAAAGTAGCGCAGGCTCAAATAAATGGAAATTAAATAAATTGACTCCACAAATTACACTCCTAACAACTTTAAAAAAGGTCAGGCAACACAAAACTCAAAAGTATCGCACATATTCTTTCGGGAGTCTATCTAACTTTAAAACTAACAACTGCTTGGTTGTATATTGTGTAAATAGCTGACAGGACCGCTGCCTGTCATGTAGGTCATCCGTGCTGAGCGAAGAAGGTGGCAGGTTTGCACCAACTACAAAGCCCATGCTCAGATAAAGTCATCGCCCTAACCCGCGCCCCACTGGGGTCTGCGTACAACACGCCCTACTGGGGGGGGGGGGGGCTATTCATAGCCCCCCCCCCTCCTAACTCCGAAACTACTGGGCCGATCGTCAAAATTCAAACGGCGTCTGATAGCCCCGGAAAAACTGTCGAGCGAAACCTAATTTCATTGACCTCGAGGTCACCGATGACGTCACAGGTCAGGTCAAAGTGAAAATTATTAGCATTTTGGCTTCTTCACATTTTGGGCTCTGGCCGCCGTCTTACAAGTCAGATCAGGCTCATTTTTGGTTCACACACTCGTGAACAGATGCTCTAGATACTCTGAGGGTACCAAACTTGTACTTTGATTTTCAGGTCAAGGTCAGGTCATCACAGGTCACGAAAATAGTATATCATCCGTCGGTCACGTGACACATGTTTTATGGTCCATTTAGGCCAAACGTTTCGAATTTGATGTCGTCTGTGTCATTCGAGGTCATTTTGAGTCAAATTTAGCTTAGGTCATGTCACTTTCAGGTCAAAAAAGGTCAAATTTTGAAGTTAAATTTTTTTACAAAAAAGGTGTCTATTGGATGCAGTTTGAGCTCAGGAACACGATGGTGCTATTTATATTGGCGTACGATGTCAAATTCATGCTGAAAATTGATTTGAAAAAATAAATAATTGTTAATTTTTTGCAATAATGCGTATAACTTGGCCATTTTTGAAGATATTTAGCTAAAACTTGCTAGAGTTAGTGATAATAATGCGTTCTATCACATATATTCCGTTTTTTTTTTTCGAAAAGTTTGGGAAAAAATGTAAAAATATAAATTTTGAACTTAATTATATAAAATTTTCGAAATTTTCAAAATTTCGAAAATCCGAGATAGCAGTTTGATAGCGCAGTCTATTTTGAGTCCTCTCATGCAAAGAAATTGGATCTAGCTTAAAAACTGAGCTCTTGGGAGCGATTGCCGTGGTTCAATGTTTTGCGTCGAAATCGGCCGAACATGACGTCACTCTGACGTCATTTCCGGCCGACCTATGGTAGGTACGAAGTTCAAATTTCGACACAAGGTGTCAAATTGATGCAGCCGAAGGTACTGAAAGTTTGGCGTCGATACGTCAAGCGATTTGGAAGTTATTGCAGAAAAACGGGAGGGGGGGCTATAAATAGCCCCCCAGTGGGGCGCGGGCTAATATGTTTCTCTGGTCATTTTCGCTGACCGTTACAGGCCCGCTCACCTGGTCGTCGGCGCTGAAGGGCACCAGGACACCGTTGAGGTTGCCGTAAATCTCCGACGCCAGAGTCGCCGTGTCAGAGTCTGGGGAGTGGGGATACAAGACCATGTGTGAAAGGTAACATTTAGTTAGAAGCTGAACGCGTCTGCAATTATTTGTGTGTTTGGAGGACTTCCGGGACCAATGTACTTGATGCAAATGCTATTGGTGTATAAAGCACACTTACAGCATCGGATCCCTTCCAACTGTCATTTGGGCAAGAGATGGAAAACTACTCACTACTCACTGCAGACGATGCATAGTGTCACATACATATATCCTCGTGAACTGATCCCCAAAGGCTGAACTGTTCTTTGAGAAGAAAGATGGACAGCTACTGACGTGACATGACATAGTGTCATATACATTTTCGTGACCACTCAAAACACGTTATTTGGGCAGCGAGATGGGCATCTACTCACTGGAGACGATGTCGACGTTGAGTGTGACAGTGGTTCCCCGTCGCAGGATGCACGGCAGACTGGCGCAGCCCACCACCTTCAGGGTCTTGATGGTGTCGGCACCTGTGCCGAAACGACTGGTCAGACCCCCTCATCAGCTCACAGTGCTGATTTGTTTGGTAAATGACAGATGCTGTACCCTTGGAAAAGGACATGGATACATACAATAAAAGTGTAAAGACCGAGCATGTCGAACACTATCAAAATCTTGCTGCCGATTGCAGCATTGGCTCTAGACTTAGCCTGTACCGACTGAGCTCCTGCCTCCTGATCTCCCACCAGTTATTCCCTCACCTTCCCCACAGTGAAGGTGTGCAAAATGCACCTATATCCTGGTCCACATACCACAGCTGATGAATGGCGTCTCGGGCAGCAGTTTGGCGGCGGGGCTGGCGAGGGCTGACGCGGCCAGGCCGCACACCAGAAGCGTCATCTGAATGGCGTTCATCTTGGCTGGAAGCTGCTGCTGGGACCTGCTGAGAGCTGCTGAGGGCTGCTGGCTGGCACTGTGTGGACACTCCTGTGCCGGGTCGCCGTTTTATAGGGCAGATCGGGCGATGGCTACGTCACTTCTCGCGGTGGTCAGTCGGCAATTTCCCACCTTATCGGCTCGGCGTGCGGTGTTGTCAAGTGCCGAGTCCACTGTTCGGGCATAACGTGGCCGGAACGGAACTAACGAGATCGACAAAAAGCCGGGCAATCCAACCCAGCGAGTGCCGAGCTGGCTGACGACTGAAAAATTCGCAAAACTTTGCGGGACAGGGAACGTCTAAGTAAAGCTTGGCTCAGGGTATAGCTTGATTCATGACATCCGCTCAGCACTGAATAGGCTCTTGATTGCCTACGCACACGCAGGCTATCTTGAACAGCTTGTGGTCATAATGTTTCTTAGGTATGTATCGTCTTTATGTATTTATATTTCTGTCGGCGTGCTTTCTCATGGCACTTTTGTTGCTGGTTTCTTATTACAGTCTTTTTACCTGAATGACAAAACATAATGACAGACGGCTTTACAACCAATGCTGTATTAGCTTTGTTTTGTTCATAATAGGCAATGCGATAGAATTGCTTATATCAACTAAATGTGAACTACATTTTTCATTTGTTTATTGGTTGTACGAGATAACCAGACTTTGAGTTGCCCAAAGCAATTTACGATTGAGTACATACGCACACTGATTGATTTAGCCGCCCACTGCTTTGTCGTGATCAGAATTTAGAACTGAATAATGGATTGATTACCGATGTGGGAATATACATATGTTGCAGTGTGTTTCTGCGACTCATTGCAAATTCGAGCACCACATCTATTTCGGTTTGCTGATCAATTTGTAAAGGAGAATTCACCAAACTGGCTTTTCGTTGTCTGGTGTAGCGGCACGTTTGGTTTTAGATGCAGCGATAGAAGTCGGCCGTCTGGCATTTTCTCATCAGTCGTTTGGCTTTATCACAAGGAAACCATAAAGATAGCGTGACAACAAGCGTCACTCAAACACGTGGTAGTCTTATATTTATTTTCATTTTATCTTCTGAAAAGACGACCTTCAGTTTTTGTGACATCGGAAACCGTCAGCAAAAATATATACTTTGGTTCTGGTGTCAGTATTTGCCAATAGCTGTCCATTGCTTTTAGTTGCGTGCGTGTACTGTGTATAGATCCGAGTGATTATGTGACTATGATTCCTGACCTGACCATCAGGTGACCTTGACACCCACCCCAATGCATGGGAGCAACATCAAATCACATGTTTGAACGTTTGAAACCACGAAAAGCTTGCAAACGCGCGGCTAGTGCGAGCCGACATACGCCGGATCGCGATTCCGGCCAAACATGGTCTCGGAAAAGAGGTCACAGGTCAAAGGTCATTTTGGTCAGGATCATGAATTTTTCAGAGTAGGTGTAAACTTGATCAATGCGAGAGCACTGAAAGTTTCGTTGCGATCGGCCGCTTTTTACGCGAGTTATTCGCGAAAAACCTTAGAGGGCGTTGCATCAACACTGTGCCGGCGAGGGTTAACCCGCGCCCCACTGGGGGGGGGGGGGCTATTTATAGCCCCCCTCCCGTTTTTCTGCAATAACTTCCAAACCGCCTGCCGTATCGACGCCAAACTTTCAGTACCTTCGGCTCCATCAATTTGACACCTTGTGTCAAAATTTGAACTTCGTAGCTACCATAGCTCGGCCGGAAAAGACGTCAGAGTGACGTCATGTTCGGCCGATTTCGACGCAAAACATCGAACCACGGCAATCGCTTCCAAGGGCTCAGTTTTTAAGCTAGATCCAATTTCTTTGCATGAGAGGACTCAGAATTGACTGCGCTATCAAACTGCTATGTCGGATTTTCGAAATTTTGAAAATTTCGAAAATTTTGTATAATAAAATTCAAAATTTACATTTTTACATTTTTTTTCAAAAAGTTTTTGACTTTTCGAAAAAAAACCGGAATATCTGTGATAGAACGCGTTATTATGACTAACTCTAGCAAGTTTCAGCTAAATATCTTCAAAAATGGCCAAGTTATACTCATTATTGCAAAAAAATTCACAATTATTAATTTTTCAAATCAATTTTCACCACTTATTTGACATTGTACGCCAATATAAATAGCACCATCGTGTTCCTGAGCTCAAACTGCATCCAATAGACACCTTTTCTGTTGAAAAATTATAACTTCAAAATTTGACCTTTTTTGACCTGAAAGTGACCTGACCTAAGCTAAATTTGACTCAAAATGACCTCGAATGACACAGACGACATCAAATTCGACATCTTTGGCCTAAATGGACCATAAAACATGTGTCACGTGACCGACGCATGATATAATATTTTCGTGACCTGTGATGACCTGAACTTGACCTGAAAATCAAAGTACAAGTTTGGTACCCTCAGGGTATCTAGAGCATCTGTTCACGAGTGTGTGAACCAAAAATGAGCCTGATCTGACTTGTAGGACGGCGGCCAGAGCCCAAAACGTGAACAAACCAAAATGCTAATAATTTTTACTTTGACCTGACCTGTGACGTCATCGGTGACCTCGAGGTCAATGAAATTAGGTTTCGTTCGACAGTTTTTCCGGGGCTATCAGACGCCGTTTGAATTTTGACGATCGGCCCAGTAGTTTCGGAGTTAGGAGGGGGGGGGGCTATGAATAGCCCCCCCCCCCCAGTAGGGCGTGTTATACGCAGACCCCAGTGGGGCGCGGGTTAAGCATGATCTTGAAATTTAAATTTAATGTTGGGCACATCATCAGAATTCTCAGATTCTCTTCTTTCGTTTTACATCCATTTTGCCGTTTTTCACTTACATTGATATCACTACACATATGCCTTTGCCTTTGACCTTGACCTCTGACCTTGAAAATCGACCTGAGGTCAAAAATTTTGGGAGCATTAGAAACGTCTTGTGAAAACCTTTCTATTGTTGCCGGTTTTGTTTCCTTATCTCCCTTATTTACGGAGTAAGACGGGGGGGCAAAAAACGCCCCCCCCCCGGCTATGGTGGTTGGGATTTTCCCCGAGCCCGGCCGGGTTCAGCTTTTCTGTGTTGACAAAGATTAGTGAGAATCTATGATCTCATTAGATCTAAACTAAAAATAGACTGGGATCTATGATCCCATCGAATCCCAGATCAGGATCTGTGGGATCAGATCCAATGTTCAGTTTCTCTGATCCATGCACTTATATGCTCTATATTGTTTCATTTTTGTACTGTATGTTCGACGTTTGTTAGACCCGCTGAACTGACCAAATTCTCAAAGTTATTTAGAAAAGCAGTGATGATGCTTGACATTTCGTACTATTTTACACTCGTGCAATTACAATGACAAATATCAAAAGCACGAATTGCAATTCTCAAATGACCGTGAAATAAGTGCGTCAGATGCAATGATTCCACCTCTTTTAATGGGAGCTCCGCCGCGAGCAGACAGCCAGGTGGCTCGATTCCCAAGAGGCGCTCGTCTCGCCAGCGCTGCGCTGGGTCACGAGGTGCGCTGTCACAGCGCCGTCACGTGATAGTTGGCTGCTTCTCAGACGGATTGCACACGCAGCTGCCACGGCGTTCACCGCAGAGACACGTGGGGTGTCGCTGATATAGTAGCTGAGGCGATAAGGGCAACTACACTACAGACCCCCTACCATTGGAGTTTCGACCAACAATAAATTGGAGTTTTGACAAACAATGAATGGGAGATTTTGACAAAAAACCAAAGCAAAAATTATGAAACTACATGAAATATATGACATTCTTTCGTGTCCAGTGGCTTTGATGCTCAGAGGTTCGACAGACCACTGCCATCTTTTTGTAAGTTCTCCTGTTGTGAATAACAATGCATCAATCTCGCTCCCCACCCGTCTCCCTCCCCGCCCAGCCGCCTTCCCCAGCCGACCCACCGCGCCAGTCTGGCGGGACGCGGCCATCGCGCGGGAACCCGGCACGTGTCACGCCGGAAACGACAGGTTTGCAGCGCGGCCGGCAGCGCCGTGTACCTCAGAGACTTGACTGAAGGGCCTGCCGACCGCCGCATCACCATGAGGCTCCCCCACGCGCCGACCATTGGCCTGCTGCTGCTGCCGCTGCTGACTACAGGAACAGAAACTCCCTACAGTGACTGTGGTAAGTGGGGAGGTCGATTTCTGGGAACGACGTATTCTGCGGAAATCTCGAATGGTCATGATTAGATAACTCTTCGTAGGTTGTGTCGTAAGTGGTCACAGATGCCAGATGGTGTTTTGGGTGAGCGGGCTCTCAGAAATACAATATTTTGCATAATCATGATGATACATTCATGCAGATTCAAATATGCATATTCGGTGCATTTTATGTAAGTTTTACTAATGACATAGTTTTTACCAATATAATGTCCAAATGAATCAGGTTTGATGCATTTAAATGTTAGTTCAAGCCCTGTCAGACTGGCGTGGATCCATTCATGCATTTGCTCCTAAAACCTGTCACGTTTTCTGCAGGGAGCCCTCAGTTTTCACACTGTTTCGGCAGGGTTTACCGGCTCCCTGGTCGGACTTCAGCTAGGTAGCTGCCGAGAATGGCCGTGCGTCTTCGAACGGGGAGTGCCCATCGCTGGAGAGGTTCTCTTCAAGGCGGGTGAGTTTATTTATTCATTTTCTATTTATTTACCAAGACCCTCGATAGGATTCCTATGATATCACACAGTCAATAGGATAAGTGGGTATGTGGCATGGGTGTTAGATATTACACATTGTTGCAACTCATGTCCGATATTTTAATGTTCATAAATCTACTAAAATGTTGGTTATTATGTGTTGTTTTTTCCTACCATGTATCGTTCTTTTTCAGTCTCGAACTATCGCACCCTCAAAACGACGATTAATGCTCTGTTCGGAGGCATTGCAATTCCGCTTTATGTCGACGAACAGGTAAGATAGCCACCACTGCGCTGTTTATGGTGTCGTATCTAAATATCACGAAAGCTTTATACTCATTAATTTTTCATGACCCCACATAAGCCTTCCCCAAGCACGCCACAAATATACGTACATCCAAAACCGACACAAATGAACAGAAAGAAGGGATATAAGTCCAGACGGGTGGATGGAGATTGGAAAGATAAACAAGATAAATTAACCCTCGCCGGCCGAGGGGGGGGGGGGCGGGTGCCGCCCCCCCATAGGGTTTTTTCGCGATAGCTCCAAACACGCTGGCGATAGAGAGCTGAAACTTGGCATACCTGACCTTTGATCCAAGCCGCATCTTTTGACACCAACTGCATTTTTGGGTCAGGTCAGGTCACTGACCTATGACGTCATAAGTGAACCTCTGCACGGTCTTCAGATGTCGCAACTTCGCAACGCCCTCACTGCCAGAGGAGATGTCACAGGGAAATGAAACTTGCAGGATCTAGTATCCATTATGAGTCTCACAACTTGTATATCTCGGATTTTTCCTAAAGGTCATATGAGGTCAGGTCATTTTCGTGACCTCACCATTATAAGTCAATGGGGAAAAATTCAAACTGCTATTCTGGCGACGGGAACGATCTCCAACTATCTCAAGCACACAGAATCGTGATTTGACGCACTCCTTGCAAGGTTAGATGCGTCACTTTTGCAATGTTGACCTTCTGTGACGTCATTTATGACGTCATCAAGGTCATATTAGTTTTTCGTCAATAACTCCCGAGCAAATTGAGCTAGCGAGTCGGAAAAGCCACCAATGGACTCAGGAAGACCTGCCGAATCGAATGATATGCGACATGACCTCTTTCGACCAACTTCGTGACCTGGGGGTGCTGACCTGACCTTGACCTGAGGTCAACACCCCAAGTTGACCTGACCCGGACAAAAAGCATATCATTCGACGCGCCTGATCAAGGCGAACACGATGCTGCCAAAATCACGGCTCTGCGGCCGTTTTTTGCGAAGTTATTCACCAAAAACTGAACCGTACCCTGGGGCACTTGACCTGACCTCAGAGGTCACCGGTTGACCTAGGACCTTAAAATCGGGTACCAATCTCTGCGTCTCGTAACGGCGCACACGCTCGTTTTTTCCGCGACGCGCTAGCTCCACTAGGGGCGAAACGGCGAGGGGGGGTCGTACCCGCCCCCCCCCCCTCGGCCGGCGCGTATGTAGAAAACCAATAGGTCCGGCGAGGGTTAAGTTATGACAGACCCACGCGAAGCTGTGCATCAGTAAAAGGTCAAAGGTAGTCGAGCGCACCTACCTCTTTCCTGTAAGGAATAACATCATAATCATTGGTCAGTGTCAAACCAGGTAATCCCTCCTCCGAAGTCGGTTCGGAATCGAGGTCGGAGTCGGAGTCAGTGTCACCCACAGACGAAACAACGCACCAGGAGTCAAAGTCGGAGTCGGTCAAACTGCCACGACCCCGATTCAGGAACGTTGGTTAGAATCTGTGGAACCCCCATGCCTATGCGGTATAGAACTATCACGTACCCATTGCGTTTTGCCTACCTTTTTACTCGTAAGCCCACTTGGAATACAGTATAGAGCCTTTGAGAGGAAAGGAACACATTTTTTATCCCTGCCATTCTCCTGATACAATGTGCGCTAGGGTGCGCAGCACCCCATCTGTTCCAGCGGTCGACCTGTTTCGCTACCCTGTCCGCAGATGTGCACCAAGCTGCTGATCGGCCAGTGTCCGGCGGACATTGGAGAGTCGCTCAGTTACCTGGCCAACTTGACCGTGGGCCACGACCTACCGACCATCACCGTCACGCTGGAGTGGAATATCGCCAACGGAGACGGAGAGACGGTCGTCTGCGCCCAGGTGCCCGCCCAGTTCCACTAGCTAGTGCTGTCGACGACGCAGGTCCACCAGCGCGAAAATGGCGAAGAAGGCGACGTCAACTTCTAAGCTTCTTCAGTCGTGGACCGCGAGGCTCCACTAGCAAGTGCCGTGGACGGTCCATTTCGTCACAGCTGTCTTGTTCTGGGCGACTTCAGCGGCAGTCGCGCCAGTTTCATTGTATTATACGCCGCATACGAGCTGTTAATTACTTCCGATCTGAGATGCAACTGTGAATGGTAATATGGGCTATTTTTCTGTTGTAGGGTTAGCATTGATTGTTATACTAGATAGTAGATATGATTATTGTCTTGGTGCTGTGACATGCTTCTCATGAACAGCGCTATGTCATCGATGTAGGTGTAAATGTGTTTTATGTAGGGGTTCTACTGTTATCTATGGTAGGGGTCATAGGGATTGTTATCTGTGTGGGTTTTATCTATAGATAATGATGTTTCAACGGGTATCTTACATGCAAAAAATTATCACGCTATTTTCCTCGGAAACCAGGCTCCGTTTGATATTAAGATTATATGATCCTAAACTTGATAAACAATAGTTTGGGACCCCAAGCGTTTTGTGAGATTTGTTTGTTGCTCGTGTCACCAGGCGATTTCCCGCTTGCACTTGCTAGGCTAGATGGAAACGTGCACTTTAAGTTCGATCGGCCTGTTAGTCATGTACCTAATGCTTAGTGAAACATCACGAGTTCGCTATACAGACATAATATAGCTAAGTAGTCGATCTAAGCTCCTTGTAGCGGAGTGCTCAGGATTCTACTGATGCCAAAACTACGTCCGCGAAATGACAACATTCTTTGAGTGGATCTGACAATGTGGCGCTCCAAAAACGCACCGTGCCGATGCCAGCCGTGTGTTTTTGTGCGGCGAGCGCAAATCGCAATCGCTCTGTGTCTAATTGATATTACATTCAGGCATTTTTCTCTGATAGCTTCCATTGTGCCTTGGACCAGTGTTCCTTTTTTGTTCATTTAGTGTAATTGCTTCACCAGAGAGCTCTGATGGGGGTCCGGGAATAGAGCAGGTTATGCGGAATGTGGTCCAACAATAGCACCGCTGATCGAACAACACGCGCAACGGAATCCGCCATTTCGCGGAGCAAATATTCGGCTGGCAAGTCGGGCTTCGATACAATCCTGAGCTCTTAGGAAAGATGGAATTCGTCTGATCAGACGATGCTTGCAATGCTTCCAGACCCTGCAATCATTGCAATTGTCATGAAATTGGGCAACACATTCACACAGAACCAATGCAGATGTCCTAACATATGCTTTACATGCATCTGTTACAACCTCCCGATTTCTGTGCTTTACACCACGCAATGGAGAACCGAGAGGTGGATGACTACAGGCATAGACCAATATTTATCTATGTGGTTATATAGAACACTAACTATACGGTGGTCTACCTACATCCAGACATAGGCCATCGATATATAGTGGTCTATGCTATATAGTTGGCTAGCTGGCAATATTGATGCACAGTGATCAGGAGGTGCCGAAACTGTAAATATTCTTTTTTCTTGCACATGTTCTTTGCATATTGATTTACCGTCCGTTACCGACTCCGCGTTTCCTGTAAAATGACTTTCATTTTCTGTCAGAACACAAATTAATAAAATGTAATAGTTACTAGGAAGCATTGCGGGGTGAGCGGTTCCCTGTTGCCTAGCCGGCTTATTGAAGCCTTGAACTGTGAATGACAGTGTGTGGGCGCTGCGACAATTAGCTGAACGCACAGCCCGGGTATAAAAGTCGCCGCCATCACTGCCATGACATCGTAACTCGGCACTCGCAGCCTCCGGCGTCACCATGGCTGCGCCCCTGCGCCTCTCTTGTGTGCTGCTGGCCGCGCTGGCCGCGCTCCAGCCGAGCTCTGCCCAAAACTTCTGCAACATCTCCTCGTGCCGGTCGCCGAGCCAGCACACCATGTGCCGGTTCACCTCGTCCAGAGTCTCCAGAGCGTGCGGCGCCGTGCGCGTCAGCTCTGTGAGCGCTGCCGACAGGGCCGAGATCCTGCGGGTCCACAACGACCTGCGCCGCGCCGTCCAGAGGGGTGCCCACAGGAACAGAGGTCTGCCGGAGGCACGGTACATGCCCAACCTGCGCTGGAGCTCGTCACTGGCCAGGATCGCACAGCGCTGGGCCAACCAGTGCCAGACTGGACACGACCAGTGCCGAAACCTGCCTGGAAAATACGTCGGACAAAACTTCGCCTGGTCCGGCAATCAGGCTAAAGACTGGAGGAACAGGATTGCCAACGCTTGGTTCTCGAGTGAGCTCCCCTACGTCCGGTCTACCCTGAGTAATCTCAAATATCGCGGGGGTAAAGCCGGTCATCTCACTCAGATTATTTGGGCGAAGACAACAGAAATTGGCTGCGGATATGTTGAGACTAAACGCCCAAGAGGCCGGTATGTAGAGAGGTTCTATTTCTGCAACTACGGTCCCGGAGGAAACTATTACGGTCAGAGAGTGTATGATCCTAAGTAAACAGTTGCGTGTGTGTGTTGATGTAAACTAGTCTGATGAAGGTTGCCTTGATATGTGTTTCTGAGGTTACCGAGATGTTGAAAATTGGCACACAATGTCATTGTTACTGTGCATTATAATGCTAATAAAGCTGCAATGGGACTACACCTAATTCTATTCGTTTAATGCAGTCACGAACAGTTATTTGGAAGCTATTATAGGTATACATACAAGAGAATATGGGAGGTCCAGTGTCATCTGTAATCCGTATATATTTCTTACAGAATATGCTAGTTATAACATTTCAAATGCCCCAAACTACAACAGATCATATCCACAAACAGATCTCCGACCAAACACGGGTATCTATTGTAACATAAATTGATATCATTGGATAATCGTAACATAGGTACCAGTATAGCGCCTTTTGGGGCGACTAACGGAGCGAGCGAGAGGGTGAGCCTTGCACGTGCGAAATTTCGAGGGGGTACCTCCAACTGACTTGTGCACGGCACCCTACTGACCGGTTTCTAGCGATGTGCCAAATTTGAGCACAATCGGCCCAGCCGTTCTCGAGATCTGGGAGCGGCACCCTGCACGTGCGCACGTGCAAAATGGGTCCCGACTGGCTTTTGCACGGCACCCTACTAACCGGTCCCTAACTGTGTACCAAATTTGAGCGCAATCGGTCCAGCCGTTCTCGAGATCTGGAAACGACCTCTGCACGTGCGCACGTGCAGCGGCACCCCAACTCTGGCACATGGATATGCAGTGCCTAGTGGGTGCCTACCTACATGCCAACTTTCAGCGCAATCGGCCAAGTAGTTACCGAAATATTGCAACAATTGCAAAACTGACACCTCTTCGTTTTGCACGTGGCACGTGCATAAGGGGTCACCCACATGCATCGGGAATAGTCCAATACTTGGTAGAAGGAATGAAGCTACCCTATAAAAATTACCGCGTGTAAATCGGTCAAGTGGTTGCTGAGATATAAGCCTCGCAAAAGCGTCCGCACGGCCGGCCGGCCGCTCATACTCAGAAATTTCCGTTATTCTACGTAAGACTCCGCTCGCTTCGCTCGCTCCGTAATGACGGGACATCTATGCACTTATTTAGGGGTACTCACTGCCGATCTGAAATTCAGGACTAACGTTTGGCATTATATATATTCAGACCATGATCACGGGTAGTAAGAACAGATGACATGGTTTTTCGACGAAATGTCACTGTCTTATGTAAGTCATTGCGTGGTCTGAACTTTATCACCCGCCTGTGCGGTGAAAAGGCTGCGACACTGCACTGCGCATTGAAAGATATACACTTTTGATAATTAATATTTTATATTCCTTAACGTGGCGCTGTGGCAAGGGTGGATGGGCAAGATATGTTTTACTGCGCCTTCATTTTCTTTTAACCCGCGCCCCACTGGGGTCTGTGTATTACACGCCCCACTGGGGGGGGGGGATATTCATAGCCCCCCCCCTCCGAACTCCTAAACTACTGAGCCGATCGTCAAAATTCAAACGGTATCTGATAGCCCCGGAAAAACTGTCGAGCGAAACCTAATTTCACTAACCTCGAGTCCACCGATGACGTCACAGGTCAGGTCAAAGTAAAAATTATCGATATTTGGCTTGATCACTTTTTGGGCTCTGGCTGCCGTCTTACAAGTCAGATCAGGCTGATTTTTGGTTTACACACTCGTGAACAGATGCTTTAGATGGTACCAAACTTGTACTTTGATTTTCAGGTCAGGGTCAGGTCATCATAGGTCACGGAAATCTTATGTCATAAGTCGGTCACGTGACACATGTTTTATGGTCTATTTAGGCCATAGATTTCGAATTCGGTGTCGCCTGTGTCATTTGAGGCCATTTTCATCTGAATATAGCTGAGGTCAGGTCACTTTCAGAAAAAAGGTCGAATTTCAAAGTTGAATTTTTTTTTTCAACAAAAACTTGTCTATCGGATGCAGTTTGAGCTCAGGAGCACGATGGTGCTATTTATACATATTGGTGTACAATGTCAAAAACGTACTGAAAATTGATTTGAAAAATATAATTGTGATTTTTTTGCATTAATGCGTATAACTTGGCCATTTTTGAAGATATTTAGCTAAAACTTGCTAGAGTACCTAAGTCATAACCATGTGTTCTATCACATGTATTCCGGTTTTTCGAAAAGTCAATTAAAAAAAATATAAATTTTGAATTTTATTATATATAATTTTCGAAATTTTCCGAATTTTGAAAATCCGAGATAGCAGTTTGATAGCCAAGTCTATTCTAAGTCTTCTCATGCAAAGAAATTGGATCTAGCTTCAAAACTGAGCTCTTGGGAGCGATTGCCGTGGTTCAAAGTTTTGCGTCGAAATCCGAATATGACGTCACTCTGACGTCATTTTTGGCTGAACTATGGTAGCTACGAAGTTCATAGTTTGGCACAATGTGTCAAATTGATGCAGCCGACGTTACTGAAAGTTTGGCGTCGATACGTCAAGTGGTTTGGAAGTTATTGCAGAAAAACGGGAGGGGAGGCTATGAATATCCCCCCCCCCCGTGAGGCGCGGGTTAAGGTAGCTTATCACGCATCTCTTTAGCATTGCATTTGTGAAAAGTTTTAACGATGACATCAATGAATTAGTTTTGTGATTTTTAAAGATCTTTTAGGGAGCTATCAAAGGGTTTTTTTCACATCATTCTAGCTTTCTTAATTTCCGAGATAATTTGGTGTGGCTAAATACCCCCCAATTCATCATGGCAAAGTTGGCTGATACCGAGAGAGAGGCCCACCCGGGCGCGGGTTAAGGACTGATGGCCATGTGTTTGCATTGTCAACCGAAGCAAATCATTAGTAATTTACTGGGCTAATTTGTTTGCCAAATGGCGACCGAACTACTTTCAGGGCAAACAATATTCCACTTACGTATATTCCCGTTCCATGTCCATTTCGACTCGGATCATTAGCAAATTACGTTACATTTCAACATCAAACGCTTATTGTGCCATACTCCGCAATGTCATTACTTTGTCTGTTCGTGCAGCTCGTCGCTTCCGCATGACTAGCATGCATAATGCATATTGTAAAAAAAAAACATCAGCCAATGTTCGGGTGAGGCATACCGGTCCCACTCAGGTACTCGTCAGCGACCAGCCGCGATGGACGCGCTCCGTCCCCTGACCGTGCTGCTCCTCAGCTGCGCGCTGCTGGCCGGCGCCTCGTACGTCCGCAGGCTGGATGTGTTCTCCGCAGGACCACTGGCCGAGTCTGCGGCGCCGTCTCGTCTCAGCTGCGCCGCCTGGTGCAACAGGACGTCCGGCTGTGTCGGCTTCACGTTCACCGACGGCGGACAATGTCAGCTGTTCAACCAGGTCTACAACTCTACTGCTGATAACAGAACCATGATGCCGGTCGACTACTACTACCCTCCGACGTCTCCCTGTTCAACCGGCTGGTTTCCCTTCCGTGACCGATGCTTCTTTCGAGGGGTGTTCGACACGGAGCAGCTCTGGGACGCACACCGAGCGGCATGTCAGAGTCTCGGGGAGCAGTCTGACCTGGCAGTGCCGAATGACGTACAGGAAAGCAGCTGGCTGTTGTACCACCCCTCTCGCACAGCAGGGCCAGAGTTCACTGGTGTAAAGCTGGAGAACGGCACCTTCACCGGTCCGGACGGGGCAGCCGTCTCGTTTCAGCTACCGATATATGAAGCCGCTCATGATCCTGGACACGTCAACCTAAGGTTCCATCATGTAATGCAATATAGCGCCTTTCGATCATCAAAAGCAGTGTCACGCTATGTTTGCGAAGCGCCGAACAAATGCCGGCTGATGAGCCCCTGTCCCTCCGGCTGGCTCTTCGTGGACGACTACTGCTACCACTACGTCTCCACGGCCATGGCCTGGCAGGACGCTGATGATCACTGTGCGGGACTGCAGCCTGGAGCCCGCCTCTCGCCCGTCATCAACATGGAGACGTTCAAGCTGGTCTACTACAGTCTCGGCCTGGCCTCATCTACTTGGGCTGGAATATCGGATGCCGAAATGGAGGGAACGTGGAAGTCGGTGGAGGACTCCACCTCATCTTTTGCATGGCGATCACCGGAGCCGAATGGTGGAACAGATGAAAATTGTCTCGAAATGAAAACCACCGGAGGTAGCGATTATGGATGCTCCGAAGGTCGGCCCCTCGTTTGTCGCGTGCTGGCTGGCGTTTGCGGTTAACCCTCGCACGACCAGGCCATTTCTCATAACACGAACGACCAGGGGGGGGTTGTTACGACCCCCCCCCTGGCGTTTCGAAACGGAAGGTCGTAGAGCTTAGCGGAAAAGACCAACGGATTGCTCTCGCCGAGATCTCGCGATTGGTGGTATATTTTTTGGTCCTAGGTCAACATTTGACCTACTTTTGACCGGTCAAAGGTCAAATTTTCGGAAAAATAGACTTTTTTCAACTTTCGGCGGCGATTGCGGCAAAACGGTGGGAGATATCGACTTGAAACCTTCACTATCGTGTTCCTTGATCAATTCTCTATCGTTTGGTATGTATTTCGTTTCCCTAGCTCTAAAAATGGCGCGTTGGGAGCGCCGGAAGTCGGCAAGGTCACAGTCGGCGGCAGAAATTCGAAAAATCAAAATTTAAATTTTTGAAATCTGATTGTATTTTTGGATTTGGGAGGTCCATTTGCTCCCTGTAGAAGCTAATATTGCTGCATATTCCCATTGAGGTGACAAGAATTAGCAAAATAGTGGTTCGGGCGCTTTTCAAAAATAGTACCGGACGCTGTTCCTCTTGTGACGTCATAGCTCCGTGACCTGACCTGACCCGGTCAAATTTCTTATACCATATGATAGCCAATACTTGCCCCAACATGCATGGGAAGTTTCATCACGATCCATCAACCGATGTCCGTACCACCGGCAGGAAACCTCGGGCGTTGGCACTCAGTTTGTGAAAATCCGGCCGGAGGCTGTACCTCTTATGACGTCATAACTCCGTGACCTGACATGACCCGATCAATTTTTTTTCGGCAAAAGATGCGCAAAGGTTGCCCCATAAGGTACCCAAAATTTGGCGGCGCTGCGCGCCGCCGTTTTTGCACTATTTCCGAAAAACCTCAGGGGGGGGGTTGATACAACCCCCCCCCCCCTAGGCGTT